CTCACTACCTTGAATACAAACATGTGTATGGTCATCTGTAAAATGCAGAACTGTAATTAACATGTGCAGGGTTTAGGTTTAGGTGATGTACATTTAACCTGAAAGATCACCAGAGAGTTCTGATATACGACTCCGGATAGATTGACGGTTGGAGACTGAATTATAAGGCACTGTTTCGAACTTTGTTCGAACAGGGACTAATAAGACATAACTGTATACAAAGTACTATCAAAGCTGTGTTACAGATGATATGCAGACATTCACAGTTGTGAAATCAGAATTACTGGACTTACCAAATGGCTTTGCGATTTCTTCCCTGAAAAACTGACCAATCGTTCTACGTTTAGGATCGGCATGCTGCAAGAGGCCACTTAGCAGCCAGCCGTATGAGATCACATGATACCCGTGTGTTGTTCCTGGTTCCCACAATGGTACTGACTCTGCCAACACTTTCAGTAATAACTCCCGATCTCGTAGTATTTCAATTGTTACTGGTTGTGATAAAACTGGTAGACCTGCCTTTATAAATAAATGAATTCATATTTATCGCTCTCTCGTCAAAATGTTAATTCAATAATTGTTAATTTTCTCTAAATTTCGAGTCAAATTTAAACAAGACAAATGTGTTATTTTAGCCAATTCTCAACCCATGTCTTAGAAAATTACACATGCTAAACATCTAAATAGATTAAAATATTATATTAAAATTTGTCAAATATTTTAGAAAATATACATATACACCCACGGGTTGAAATCAAACGTAGCTAATATCCTTAAACTTAACAAGCAGCCTACAGGTACATATACACCAAGTATCAAAGCAATAAGTTAGCAATAAGAAGTTGAAAATGTAAAAAGTTGACATGGACACCATGCGTCAATTACTCGTATGATAAGCTCCGCTTGACAAAGTCAACAGCGGAGCTAATAAAATATCTAGGCTTGACAAATGCCAGATTTTATTTAACCATGCAAATAAAAAATATGGTGTATCACAATTTTGGTACTTTGTATTATGCTTTATAAGTTATTTCTGTGTTATTTCCGCATAATATAATAAGAATAACCTTTTCCTATTGATTGTGTGTATATGTTGTGAAACTGATCAAAATCTCGTGGCATACTTGCCGGGGGGTGGGGTGGCTTTCCAATTAGTCTGGACCACACTTACCCAGGGTAAATTTGTTATGACCTTTTCACTGAGTCTGCCAAACACCCAACATACAGTGTTTTTGGCCTCACTATTAAGTCACTAGATGACTCACTCTGGGTACACTGTGTACCTCCCCATTGAGTCTATATACTCACCCAGAGAGCAATAAAACTACAGTTGGTTTGTCAGGTAGAAATTAAGTTCATGAATCTTTGAGAAACATGCACCATGCTATAACATATTTTTACCTCATGATTAACTAGTTGCTTTACAGTTATGTTTTCTTTCCCGTTCTGTGCAAATTCCGGCCAATAGTGAGAGACTTTCTGAGCATAATCTAAATATCCACGCTCCACTGCAACAGCAATACAGATCGCTGAAACACCTTTCGTACAGGAATACACCATCGTCATGGTTTCCTCTTCCCATGGTTCTTCAGCTTCACAATTTGCATATCCACCCCATAAGTCAACAACTTTCTGACCTTTGTAGTACACCGCAAATGCTGATCCTGCTTCCAAGCCTTCGTTCATGAAGATGTCTGAGAGAAAGAAAACAAATATTGATTTAATAAAAAATACATAGCAACAGTAGGAGTTAAAGAAACTGTGAGGGATTCTATTTTAAATGAGTCCCACGCGACGATAACAACACACACTAAAAACGCAAAGGCTCATGGGTAGACGCTTGTTTGTAAACAATTACACTCTATGGCCATCTGACGCATGGGCAGGTGACGACTCCCTCGCTTTAAGATCGGCAGTGAAGTAAACATACAGGACTTTGATTGGAACCCTGTACAGACTGTTTTTCATTCTTGCGAGCGAATTACAAGTATTTTAACCACCTCAAAAAAATGTATTTTGGGCCAGTTGTTTACCCCTATATGTGTAACGTGTATAAATTTGGTTGTTCAGGACTGAGTCATGATCCCGATCTGGTGATTGGTGCATGGGAAATAGACCATGCTTCCAACTGTGCTAGTAAAACCTACACGCTGCTAAGAAAATTGTAAATGCAGTCAATCTGTTTAGTTTAGTTTTCCTACTTAAATATTGGTATAATAAGATAAGGCTTTTGTAATAATTAGATAATCGGTATGCAAGTTTTTCATTATTAATTTGTTAAACTCACGTCTGTGGATTACCCCAGAGCTTTTATGAACCAAATTTCAATGAAATGTGATTATGCAATTATGGTTGAATTTCAATACAGAACTAAAATTGGGTGCAAATTGTATGCAAATCAGGTAATTATTATGGATGTATATAAACCCCAAATTAATTAGTTGCATTGTTATAGTATATTTACACACTTGAGATATTGGTGGAAAAGCAGAAAACTGACTTATTGTTATGCAAATTAGATAATTAATATGAACAGATACTAATCCAAAACTTATCATGTCTGTGCATTGTCTTATGACATCTATGTACAAAGTACATATTAAAAAAGAGGTGACTAGAAATTATGTTGATGTCACAGTACCATTGCCAGATTTGTCAATTTGAATTCTAACAGCCATTTTAATTTATGAAAATAGACCAATTGGCCTGACCAGAGGGTCTGTGGCCTGACGTTTAACGATTTTTACCAAAATATGATTGACAACATTTTTTTGGAGTAGGGAAATAGCGTTAATTTTATATTAGAAAAATGTTTTTGTGTTTTTAGGCAGTGTATAACACTAACATATTAGTAGTAATGCTCAGTTTTTGACTTAAACCTTATTAGGTCTTTGTATCATTACTAAGCCTCCTTGAAGTGTAATAATGATAATAATTATCATAATACAGTTTATTGTATCTTTAGAACTAACAGATTCTATTTCGTGTGTAGAAAAGTACATGAATATGAAATGAAAAAAAATAAAAATAAAAGTTTACATTTTTCATTTGTTGAAATCAGTGTACGAATATCATGTACGACACTTATTAATGTACTCGCGTCATTACTCTGTATCTGCCAGTATATTTGTCAGTATTTTTAATAATTTTTGATGAAAAATTAATTTGAGAAAATTAGGTCTTGGCATAAAATTTACAACACTCCCACAGAAAATGGATTTCATCTTCCACAAATGCTGTTCATGGTTCGCGATTTAAAATTGGGAATTATACATCTGCCTCTTTCAAATCATGGTTGCTGTTCCTATGTTTTGCCATACTATCGGTAATTCTAATTTCATATACCGGAAGTATAGTAATCGTATGTATGATTCATAGCAGTAATCTTTTTTTAAATTTGCAGAATGTTCTAAGTTTGCTATAATTTTTTCTAATTTGTGATTTTCAAAGGTTGGTGTAGTTTTGTTCAATTTTAGTTTTTATAGTACCGGTATTTAACAATCTGTTTGTGAAAATTATTGATGAGTTAGTTTCTGGTTCAAGTGACAAATTTAGATTATTTTTTATGATTGGTATGTATGCAAAAAATGATGAAAAATTACAGTCTATGTACTTGTTCGAGACACGTCGTTAAAAAAGAAAGTAATATTTCTGTTGGCTGCTGGGGGCGCTATAACTAGATGACCTCTGGGACAGAAGGTCATATATATATATATTGTAATAACCATAGTTTTCTGGGTTCCTGGTTTTGGTGAGACTGTGAATTAGAAATTTGTACCCAAAGATTTTCCTGCTTACCATACTTCACAAAAATTATTTAATTATCACAAGACAAGAATCCAGCTCGTACAAAGGCTGCCAAAATGATGGCTTCCAAGCATATGACCTGCAAGAATGGTACAGGAATTATTTCTCAGTAAATTTACCAAGTCAGCCAGCTGTAATGATCCACACGTTATTTCAATTCCCCATGATTAATTACATAACAATTGAAATCATAAGAAAATTTTAAAAAATGTCTCTTATCAAGCTTATCTCCTCGAACTATCAAATGGTTCAACCCTTGG